CTAACTTTTTCCGCTACCTAACCTAACCTAACCTATAAAGATAGGTTAGGTTAGGTTAGGTAGGGTTGGTTAGGTTTGGTCATATATCTACGTTAATTTAAACTCCAATAAAAAAAATTGGCCTCATACATAATGAAATGGTTAGATTTATCATTTCATAAGAAAAAATTAGAGAAAATATATTAATTCAGGAAAACTTGGCTTATTAGGCAAATCGGGCCTTGCATAGTAGGCTGAAAAGTGCGTTCTGGCTATTAGGTACGACATATATATATATATATATATATATATATATATATATATATATATATATATATATATATATACCTAGTAGCCAGAATGCACTTCAGCCTACTATGCAAGGCCCGATTTGCCTAATAAGCCAAGTTTTCCTGAATTAATATATATTCTCAATTTTTTTTTCTTATGAAATGATAAAGCTACCCATTTCATTATGTATGAGGTCAATTTTTTTTATTGGAGTTAAAATTAACGTAGATATATGACCGAATCTAACCAACCCTACCTAACCTAACCTATCTTTATAGGTTAGGTTAGGTAGCCAAAAAAGGTAGGTTAGGTAGTCGAAAAACAATTCATGAAAACTTTGCTTATTAGGCAAATCGGGCCTTGCATAGTAGGCTGACAAGTGCGTTCTGGCTACTAGGTACGACATATATAAATTTATTTATTAAATATAATCTAATACTGTAGGTATTTTTCTATCCTTATGAAAATTAGTCTTACACATTTGTTGGACTATTAATGCAAATTTGAACAAATACCTATTGTACCTATTCAAATAGGTATGACCTATTCAAATAGGTACTTTTTCTATCCTTATGAAAATTGTTTTCCACATTTCTTGGAATATTAATGCAAATTTGAACAAATACCTATTGTACCTATTCAAATAGGTACAACCTATTCAAATAGGTACTTTTTCTATCCTTATGAAATTTTTTTTTCCACATTTCTTGGAATATTAATGCAAATTTGAACAAATACCTATTCAAATAGGTACGACCTATTCAAATAGGTACTTTCTACCTATTCAAATAGGTACTTTTTCTATCCTTATGAAATTTTTTTTTCCACAGTTCTTGGAATATTAATGCAAATTTGAACAAATACCTATTCAAATAGGTACAACCTATTCAAATAGGTACGACCTATTCAAATAGGTACTTTCTACCTATTCAAATAGGTACTTTTTCTATCCTTATGAAATTTTTTTTTTCCACATTTCTTGGAATATTAATGCAAATTTAAACAAATACCTATTCAAATAGGTACAACCTATTCAAATAGGTACTTTCTACCTATTCAAATAGGTACTTTTTCTATATGAATTTTTTTTTCCACATTTCTTGAAATATTAATGCAAATTTGAACAAATACCTATTCAAATAGGTACGACCTATTCAAATAGGTACAACCTATTCAAATAGGTACTTTTTCTATCCTTATGAAAATTATTGTTTTCTCACATTTGTTGGAATATTAATGCAAATTTGAACATATATCTACTGTATATTATCTATTCAACTAGGTACCACCTATTCAAATAGGTACTTTTCTATATATCCTTGTAAACACAAGTCTTATACATTTGTGGGAATTTAATAATACAAATTTGTTGATGTACCTATTTATTATCACCATGGGAAGATTCATGGACAACAATGCGAGAGGTAAGGAAAAAGGACTTGCGCGTGCACACACACACACGCCCGAAACATAACTCCAAGTTTGATGTATTTCTGACCAGGGGGAAAAAGACACAGGCCGAATGGGCTTAAATTTTTTATTAGTAAATTAAATTCTGCAGAACATGCAAATAATATAAGTAGGAATTAACAAATGTAACATGTCCATCTCTGAGGACTAATTAACTTAAAATGTACCCCCGTAGTAGTAAGCATAGCCTAGACATGGCAAACACGTTCTGCAGAAACCTAATGGCAGATGAAATATAATTAGAACTAGGTATAACAGGACACAAAGGGGAAATAAAGTGTATAGACACAACACTTAACGGAGCCCTACCAAGACATAATGGGAAATCCTAGAATTAACAGGCGGGCAGAAAATACCTAGTGGCTGGGGAAAACTGATATGACAATTGGGAGAAGATTTTCCCAGGGCGTGAGGCCGGCCGCCAAGGAATAAGAAGTGTTTCCTGACTCTTACTAGCACCTAGACTGGGCAAAGGATTAGCTGCGGACAGCGGGACACTTGGGGACCGGCGCTGCACCCCCACCGCAGGCCAGCTGGCCGGACCCCCCCCCCCGAATGGCGAGGCCCGCTGGCCGCAAGGAGGCCTCAGAGTGGCAGAGCAACAACGTCCCGGACGTAGTCAGCTGGGGGTTCCAGCTGGTTGCTGGACCCGCCATTATCTCCGATGGTGAGCCCGTCAAGAGAGCCGAGTGGCCCTGTCAATTCTAAAGGTAAGAGGGCGTGGTCGGCTGAAGGCGAGCCTAGCTCTGCGAGGGCGACGCGAATTAATCGCCCTAAAGAAGTGTTGCCTGTTCACTGGGGCACGGGCCGGGTAGAACTTGCCGGGGGGCGCTCGCTGGGCTAGGGTATGCGTGCGTCCTGCGCTGTGCTTGTAGGATCTGAAGAGTGTTGATTCCTGACCATGTAAGCGATACCTGGTCCAGTCGGAGCGTGCGTCGATTTTTTTGTCGCGTAGATCACCTCCCCCTGGCTGAAAGATATAAGGCAGTAAGGGCGGGCAGAAGCGGCATGCAGTGTTATCGCGACAGGCAAGAGCACAGACGAGAGGTAAACCCTAGCTGAATCAATACGGAGACGAAAAACGGGGGAAGGGGGGCCCAGCAGCAGGAATTAAGAGATTCCTTAATTAACAATCCTGGATGAATAAGAGTTTTCCGAATAACTATACTGTAGCAATGAAGGGGGCTACCAATTCTAAGAATCTTCCAGCAAACGGAAGGGGGAAGTACCTTTGCTAGGAGCAAAGGTGGGAGAAAGCCAGTAGGAGAACAGCAAGGAAGCACAAAGCAACTATAAACAGGGATAATACGAAACACTATAAATCTTGATAATATAAACAATACATATACCAAGAAAGGGTATATACAACAAAGCAATATATACATAAACAATAAAATGGAATAAGAACCAATTCTTAAAGCCAAATCTATAACATGCTTGTGTCCTAAGCGGATGTAGAATGTGAGCGGGGAACATTACCCTTGGTCTCCATCCCAGGGATACATCACTCCACAATATCAGCTCTTAGATTTGTCCATTTCCTTCAGTGTCACCTGCTACCTATTTTAGTCCAATTTTGTTATACAATGAGTATTTCATAGTAATATTATGTTTTCCACATTCTACATTCAGCACTAACCAGAGACATTTTCAGCAATGTGTGTTGCAGCAGCACCTCACTAACTGTACAGTACTATGAAGAATGACAGAGCGGGATTGTATAGAAGACGTAAAGATGGGGGACTTGGGAGGCTGTCCGTGAGTCATGGACCCATTATTACCCATATATCCCTTTTTTTCTGCTCTCTTCTGCCCAAGTAAACTTCATTTATTTAAAAATGATTTACCCTAATTTCACATACTGTATAGTATCTCAGAATACAAATATAAGATAAAGTTCCCAAATATTGCACTTTACAAGCATTTACACTGTATACATAGGAATTGGCCTAAAGGGGTTAAGTTTAGTTCATCTATTATGCAACCCATACCCATCCTGCAGGCAGTAGTGAAAAAGGTTACAGAGCAGGAGGAGGAGGAGGATCATCATTATTATTATTTCATTGTGTCAGGGGGACAGGAAGCCAGGTTACACATACAGTACATGTTAGGCCAAGGTCCCCTTCTCCCCAGGGTCTAATTACTGACCCCTCACAGGATGCAACCCCACAGGCAGCCGACTAACTTCTGGGGTACCTATTTACTGCTAGGTGGACAGGAGCACGCGGTGAAAGGAAATGGGCCCAACCACTTCAGTCCGGAATGCGAGTCAAGAATGAACCTGACTATTACCAGAAATTGATAGCTCACTTTCATGGGTATCATATGCATACATCTTTATAAAGAAAAAAAAAAAAAAGACCCTAAAATACTTCTTTCCCAAATGGTGTTTTTGGTGCCTTTAATAGGATGGTATTATTGTAGAAGTAGGAAGAAATGTCACTGGGAAGCTAAAGAGCTAAATTCCCTCCAACGCAAGGGTTTAAATTGTGTATGCAGAGCCCACCTATATGAAGCAAATGTGGACACCTTCAAGAGAAAACTAGATAGTTTTCTTCGAGAAATGCCAATCCAACCAGGCTGTGGAGGATATGTGGGCCTGTGGGCTGCTCCAAGCAACAGCCTGTTGGACAAGGCTCTCACAAGTTGAGCTTGGCACTGCACTGGGCTGGGCTTGGGAGGTAGAAGAACTCCCAGAACCCCATCCAGGTATAATCCAGGTAAATGTGGTGTAATAACAATTTGTAGTTACTGTACTGTGTTGTAAAGGCTGTCAACATAGACTGTGATTAAACAAACTCTAATGAAGTGTAGTTACATATAGTAAAGGTGTAACTACAGACTCATGTACTGTACCTTGAGATGATTTCGGGGCTCAGCGGCCCCGCGGCCCGGTCGTCGACCAAGCCTCCTGGTCGACGTACAAAGAAGCAAGGATAGGGAGGCGTTCCTGGAATAACGGGGTAGACCTTTGACATACTACCAGCTTCCATTGATGCCACTAGAGATAGTGAGCCTTGGACATACTGCAGAAGATACATACAGAAAGCTAATATACAGACCCTGTAACATAACCACTTTCTGAAAGCTGGAACTCTATAGTGCCTTGATACATTTTTTTTTGTATAAATCTTTTAAGGTTTTTAATTTGTTTTACCACAATTCTTACACAAAATGTTACCTTCATTTGTTACATATCTATGATCCTTATTTTTTTTTACATACAATAGTCTATTCATTGAGGTTATTGAATTTTAACCTTTAATGTATAAAATTTTATTGTTTTTTACAACAGAATATGTTCAGATATCATATTCATCATACAAAATATACACACAAAAAGGATCAGCTTACTTTGACTGCAGAGATGCCATTCATGCATAATGACTAAGGAATAAGATTCCTTAATGATGAAAGGCATGCAATGAATAAGGTCACACCAACTGTTGAATCAGTCAGATCATTATCATATAAACATAAAAAGTATGTTCACTATTGATTTGATAGCACAATTAGTTATGCAAGATATTTCTCTCTGAATTAAGCAAAAATTATATATTGTATTTCCAAGCTACAACAACTTCCCACAGAGGAACATTCACACGACATCACACACACACACACACACACAACGGCATCAAGCTAACTACTGATGCAGATATGTTAATCACATACACTCCTTCCACACAAATCTAAAAAGAGGTTTATTATCCTAGGCCAAGTTTGTGAATTTTCAGCAAGAGTGGAACATAACTAACAAAATTATAAACAAACAATAAAGTTATGCACATGACGAGACTTGGCCGTCAATTCTCATGGTTGTGGAAAAGGCTTATTAGGAAGAGTTAGCTACATTCCTGCAAGGTACAGCATTGTAAATGTTGACCACACTCGCTGAATAATACATCTCAAGTATGCGTTACTACTTGTTATAACAGAAAAGATGATATGTCGCTTCTTGTTAATAACAGCTCCACAGTGAACAGTTGAGCTGTTGGTAGGCTAAGGCTAGGGAGCGGGGGGGAGGGGGGAGGACAGGAGAGCTAATAGCAGCATACTACACATGAGGTTATCACCATATATGTCAAGACTCTTAATCATCCTGAGGAACTTCAACCTCAAGTCACCTCAATATTATTCATCCTCACTCCTCTCACAAAGATACAAAACACACAACAGGAAAACTATGGAAAATGTTATCATAAATGGTTAATTACAACTTGAACAATGTTACACAGTATTCACTGAAGATTGTCAATCCTTAGTTTAATGGTTACTGTAAATTTTTCCAATGGACTACAATAGGCCAGATGATCTAGAGTAATCCACATGTAAAATTTACCCAAGGGATCCTTTGAAGCATACACTCGAGGCTAGAAAGGGCAGGGAGATCAATCCGCAAAACAATTGTTATTAAGATTAGTAAGAATTAGTCAACAACAAGCAATGGCTGCTATCAAGGCTTTGCAATTATAATTACTGTATGTAGGTTAGTGCCACTGAGAAAATTAGTACTGTTAGATTCATATAAAAAAAAACTAAGGAGTGACACACTTGCTGCATATAAAACAATAAAGCTACTTAATGTTAAAATCCTTATGAAGTGTCTTGCATTTAAAACTAATTTGATTTTATCTTAAAAGAAATTGTAATAATGGAGCAAACATGTATATTATGAATGGTTTTGAGTATTAGCAACAACATAAGCCAAGAAAACTAAGTGTCTATAAGGAAACCACTACTTCACCCTACATAGTAACAATGCACAGCACAAAAACTTTTCGTTACAGTAGTTCATACTCGTTAAATATATGTAACCCATGTCCGAGACCTTAATTAAAAGGATTTCTTCAAACTCACTGTAATGGAAAGTTAAGCTGCACAGCAAAAAATGAAAGCACAACAAAAGCAAACCATCTTTCTGCCCCTAATCCCAAATGTCTTCAACCAGAGGCTGAGAAAGTAATGGCACCTCCAGTAACTAGATGGATATTGAGCAGTAAAAATATTAACAAGGTCTCTATTTTGAGTGGTCCCCAGTCTTTATTAGTAGTAAGAAGGCCAGTTACAGTTTTCAGGATGCCTCATGGTTGAAGATATCCAACCTCATTAAAGTAAATGTTTACCAAGTATGCAGGCACTCAATATGGGCAATAATCAAGCAATGCACTGTGTGCAAATAAAGATTTGTCCTTGAGCACTAAAAACTCATACAGTAATTGCTTTCTGCATTTTTAATGAGGCCATCAAAACTTCCAGCCCGCTAAGAATGCAAAATCTTTTCTCTGGGAGAGTTTGAGAATACCAAATCGTCCGAGTCTGAAGAATATTTCCTCAATCTAATTTAACAAGGAGACAGTAAAAAAATTTAAACAAAGAATTTTGTACAAATTACATACTGTACACTACAGTACTGTATTGCAATAATTTTGTGACTCAACTCTCCAAGCTTTGAGATTTGCAGTTGATAATCAGGCAACTGTCTGAAAGTAGCGACTGTGCTGGTTGTTGCGCCAAAAAATCCCTTGGGCAGTATCCTAGAAGCGGTCTTTGGGAAGAGTTGACATTTCGGACTCGTGAAGAAATTGAATTTCCTGTAGGTCCATAAATTTTTCTTGATCCTTTATGTGTGCATAATTTGCAGCTAGGCACATCAGATAGTGTATCTAAAATGAAATGAGAAATACTTGGATTATGAAACAATATTAATAATGTTTTATAAACATGTAATTACTTTAATTACAATATATGTACTTTCATGCATTACCAATCAATACTGGTATATAGACTGGTACTCACCAATGATAGAATAACCAAGAATGCTGAAACTGATGCCAAAATAAACATAATTTCAGCATTATTCACATAGTCCTTGCAGAAGAGCTTCCTTTCACCAGTGCAAACTCTCTTGTCCTCCTCAGGTGTTCCCTCAGGGAAAAGAAAACCTGCACAAGATAAATATACATTAAAAACTACATTTAGAAATTTAATACTTTTTCCAAGAAACTTTTATCCAAAAGGGGGCTTCCACAACAGAACCATCCAGGATGTGCTATCTAAATAATAAGCATCTTACAACCTGTTCTCTTACCCTTACTTCTTCACAGGATCTAGCCAAAACAATAGCCACTCATGCAAAATGCAATCATGTTCTTGCGAGTTGTCCAAGAAAATATTTTAAGGCCGTGTCATTGGATCAAACCCGCATCCCTGGACATCACCAGACATCTGCATTCTAATAGTTCAATGCCTGAATTGTAAGGGCTTCTCTCTCTCTCATTGTGGTATGCAACTATGGTCATAGTCTATGGTTATAGTCCTAGGAGCTTTACATTTATGAGGTTTCAGATAATGTTGAGGATGGTCTTTCCTTTTAGTACCAATGAAATGGAATGAGAGGTAGACGAGGATTTCCTATTACAGTATTGGATATGGAAGACTTGTGACACTCCCTATATAAATCTATTAGTGGCTTCTTTCAGTTATAACCTGCCTAGTTTTGTGGCTCCATTTCCATATCAAACTGCCTTTGTATTGGATGTGCTTCAACTGAAACCAATAGAAGCAAACTTTTTACAGTATAAACTTGCTCAAATAAACTATATGGGGCAAAATCTATTCAATACATGGGGGATTTTGTTTGAAGTGTCAGGCCCCATGGCAACCTTTATGAAGGCAAAAAGAAAAAAATACATTTATGAGGCAATATTCTTTTTTTTGACTGTCGCATAGAATAGTGAAATAAAAAAATGCATATGGCTTACCTATATAAAATATACAAATTATTAAGGATTCTTAATTTAAGTTGTCTATCTTGAGGTTATCTTGAGATGATTTTGAGGCTTTAGTGTCCCCCCAGGAAGCAGCCCGTGACAGCTGACTAACACCCAGGTACCTATTTTACTGCTAGGTTACAGGGCCATAGGGTGAAAGAAACTCTGCCCATTGTTTCTCGTCTGCGCCCGGGATCGAACCCGGGACCACAGGATCATAAGTCCAGCGTGCTGTCCGCTCGGCCAATCGGCTCCCTATCACACAGAATTGTGTGATCACTGGCAAACAATTTAGTTCCATAATGTCATCAATACTGTACAACCATTACTGGTCCTCCAAAAATGTAGGTTAAAAACAGTTGCATCCAGACAGCCAGGCTTGGCGGTGGCTTATGCAAACATCCCACACTGAAAGAACACTTTGATCTACTGAACACAACTCTTTGGACCACATGGGAATTTGATTAAACATGGGCTGCCATTGTATTTGTCTGGTTGTTGTTATTACCCGTAATGGCAAAATGCGAGCGCTTTGTTGGCTTCATGCTTTGTTAGCTCATGACTGGAACAGTCATGGGTCTAAGCCTGATATGCTCTTGCGCCCATATGTCTCCCTTCCCTGGTCTGATTCTCGCACAAGAGATCACATGCTAGAAGTCTGAAGACTTTTACAGGCTCTATGTCAATCTTGAGATGCAAATTTTGTCTAGGTCTGATCTGCTATCTGTATGGGTGCCAAAAGACAGCAGTTTACCATGTGTAGGAATCCTCTACAATTTCATATACCTGAATATGAAAAAATAATAATAAAAAAAAGTTTATGGGTTTGCCAAGACATTGCTTAAGTTCAAAATCCACTTGGATAAAATCCTCAGGAGCAATGCAGGGTTTATTTGACAAGCCACTGGCATTGTGTCCCCCAGGTTGTGGCCACTAGAGTTATTGGCACTCACGTTAATTTGGGAAAATAAACACAGGCTTCCTGTGTTCAACAAAATTAATTAGTAATTACACAGAGAAATCACATTATCGTGATACAGTATATCAATGAGAAAATCCACAGGCGCTAGCATTGTCATCTAGTGCGTGCATCTGGGAATACCCAGCACATAGGTTCGAATCCTCATCACGTCTCCTGTGGCTTTTCTCCTTAATTAGTAATTACCACACAATATAACATGAGAACTCTTTACACTACACTACACTATAGCCTCTATTGGTCAGGTGGGCTCCTTGGATTCGTACGTTTCTGGTCAGGCAAAACTACTGCTTTCATTTATGTAGTGGCAAATAGAGGGAATAGGATGGATTTGTTCATGAGAACTCTATTGATGTTTTACCCATTCAAGTCAAAAATCACATTTTCATCACAAGTTATATTCACAAAACATTTATAATGGCTAGTCAAATTGCAATTACAGTACTGTATTTAATGTAAATTCAACAATCAGGCATGCAGTGTTACCTGATGATCAGAGTTAAAACAAAAACTTACTAACAAATAATAAGAACATGCACATGTAAAGACAGGTGGCTGGATTATAACATGCACTAGTGTGTACAGTACGTTCAGTCTTTCATGCACTCTCGTCTCCCCCCCTCTCAAAAATCACACTGCAATTATTATTTTATTTTATTTTATTTTATTTATGCATATACAAGAATGTACATAAGGAATGTGAGGATACAAATATGGTAATTACAGTACAGTCTTGTAAAGCCACTAGCATGCGCAGCGTTTCGGGCAGAGATATAGATAGCAAAGCCTTTAAATATATACAATACTTACTAAACTGGTTGTAGTCAATACACTCATTCTGAGGTATGTATAGACACTGGAACCATGCAAGAGTGTAGAATAACGTCACTATGATGAGTGCAGCAAACATCGTCAGCCATGCCAGTGACAACAGGTAGGTGATCCCCATAAACTGAGGCAAATGACAAGATGTAGTTTTTACTCCATGTTTACCTTAATAAATAAGATTTAGTAACATAAAAATTAACATTGAAGGAATTAAATATTTATTACATGATAAAAATACAGTACAATTGTTTAATTATACTGTACATATATTATATTGTACTTGAAAGGTACAGTATAGTACATTACAGTATTGTTATGATACACTAATCTTGCAGAGCATTATATTTTCTAAATATGTTTTAATTTCAACACTAAATGTGTGCTGTTGTGATAATCAGTCCTCTTGCCTAATCATCACATTTTTAATGGAATGTACAAATGTGTTAAAAATCTGGTGTAATAGTAAAAATTAAAAGCACCGTAATACTGTACAGTACTGACATTTTCTATGCATCAGCCTCTATTGGTCAGGTGGGCTCCTTGGATTCGTACGTTTCTGGTCAGGCAAACTACTACTTTCATTTATGTAGTGGCAAATAGAGGGAATAGGATGGACAAATAGTGTTATGTACATTCAAATGATACATTACATGATGGCAGCTGTGCAATAAATAACAAGTAAAACTGGACGTGCTGTGAAAAGCAAAGTCGGTAACACATTGTGTGTGTAAAGATTTGATGTGAAAACTCAAGATAAACTGATGGAGGAATCTGGTTACAACCGAAACACACGCAGTACAGTATTACCGACAAGGGAATGGATGCCAAAATAAATACTGTACAGCAAGGGGTTTAATAATTCCGATAATCTGAATCTCCAGTTAATCCGAATGAATTTACGTTCAAGTTCTTTACCCATTTTGACCTTTTAATCCAAATAAGAATTTGGGTTAAAAGATCATACTGAATGAGAGACCTGAATATATTTAAGTCTATATATTTGCGATAAAAAAAATTTGGTTATTTCGAACGGAGGGTGACCGACTCCCCCTATGATTTGGCTTTCCAAACATGGATATTGCAATACAGTACTATCTTCATATTGTTAACAAAAATTATGTTGAATAAAAATGTGTGAGAAGAACAGAAAAAATGAACTGAAGAACTGAAGGCAGAGGAAGTTGTGCTAACATTAATAGAAAACCAACAATAGCCCTAAAGAAAGGTTTACTGGATAGTGAATGCCTAATAAAATATTGCCCAATTCCTAGTGTCATACACGAGACAACATTTTGTTTATTTGACAAAGTTGTTAAGCAGTGTGCCGTGTCTTGTGCATAGCACATAAACACCAGGCTTATGATTCATTATATAATAATTAAAATCTTTCAATTAACTTGCAGTATTTGTTTATTGATTACTGGATATCAAATGTATTGGATAAAAACCCACACTTGTGTAATTTGTAAAATTTATGTAAAGATTTACACCAAGTCTTTTGCACTCTCCTGAGTGCTTTGTCATGGTTTGAGCGTGTGGACAGGACAAAACTTACACCCCAACATCTAATAAAGCATTTATTAATCATTGAGACGTATGTTTCGTCCTAACCACACACTCAGACCTAAAACACCCAGGAGTGTGTGAAGGACTTGGTGTAAATGCAGGCGATGAGTCACAATAACGTGGCTGAAGTATGTTGACCAGACCACACACTAGAAATTGAAGGGACGACGACGTTTCGGTCCGTCCTGGACCATTCTCAAGTCGATTGTGATGAGGACAGGTAGGGACAGGCATTAAATAGGCAAGAGAGAGCTGAGGAGGAAAGTCAGGTGTAGGGGATAGTAGTAATGAGAACTGCAGCAGGCCTATTGGCCCATACGAGGCAGCTCCTATTATAACCACCGAAGGAGAAAGTAAAACGAAACGTCGTCGTCCCTTCAATTTCTAGTGTGTGGTCTGGTCAACACTTGGTGTAAATCTTTACATAAATTTTACAAATTACATAAGTGTGGATTTTTATCCTATGTTATTATGTCTGTGAGAAGACATTACCATTACTTATCAAAGATATTACCAGTTTATTGGAACTTACTTTATTAAGCAAGTACAGTATTAGCACAGTAAACAAAGACCTTATATTTGTCCTGCAGGAAATAATGACAAAATATCAAACCCACACATTAGAAGCTAGGAAAGTGACCATGTGGTAGGTTTAAGGTTAAGGCTAGGCCTCTAATGAAGAGGCCTAGTTTGTTGGGCTCCTCCCTCATCTTGTGTGATGTGACAGTGACAAAAATTATGCACTGATGGCCAAAAGAGAAGCAGAAGCAACTTCAATGCTTGCCCATTTGATGTGGGCTTATTAACTGTATACACACTTATACAGTATACTGTACATAACAGTAAGCAAAGAAATACAGTATATACTGTGTGTGTGTGTAATGTAATATAATATAATATTATAATTATATAAATATATATATATAAGTAAATATATATATATATATATATATATATATGTCGTACCTAGTAGCCAGAACTCACTTCTCAGCCTACTATTCAAGGCCCGATTTGCCTAATAAGCCAAGTTTTCCTGAATTAATATATTTACTATAATTTTTTTCTTATGATATGATAAAGCAACCCTTTTCTCTATGTATGAGGTCAATTTTTTTTTATTGGAGTTAAAATTAACGTAGATATATGACCGAACCTAACCAACCCTACCTAACCTAACCTAACCTATATTTATGGGTAAGGTTAGGTTAGGTAGCCAAAAAAAGCTAGGTTAGGTTAGGTTAGGTAGGTTAGGTAGACGAAAAAACATTAATTCATGAAAACTTGGCTTATTAGGCAAATCGGGCCTTGAATAGTAGGCTGAGAAGTGCGTTCTGGCTATTAGGTACGACATATATATATATATATATATATATATATATATATATATATATATATATATATATATATATATATATATATATATATATATATATATATATATATATATATATATATATATAAATAAAAGCATTCACATACTTAAGCATTATGTAGATAAACACATTAAATGCAATAAACTATTAATTGCTATGTAGTCATTTCTATTGGTGCATGGTGAAACAAAATATGATCCACAAGGTTGAGTAAGAATTATTTTGAGTAACATTAGGTAGGTTTCTAATACTGTACAGTATTTGTAATATGAAATGCCTGTTCACAACCAACAAGGAAGGAGCCGAATTGGCAGAGGTGAGGTGGTGTAAATACTACAAGTGAGATAAATGTTCACATTTGGGTCATAAGGAAGCAGTGAGTATATTAACTTGTCCACTAAGTTTTAATTTAGTCTTGACATGTTTTTGTGTTGGCAATATATTTCCAATGATACAGGTACACGTAACCAAGTTTAAGTTTAACAATACAGTAAGTCAAAACTCGAGCATAGAGCTAATTTCAGCCTTACATGATAATCATCCTGAGGAAACCAAAAAATAATCAAATTCTCCATTTATAATGAATGGATTGTGTTTATTTGTTTTAACCAAGTTACTGTAAATAAACTCTCCAATAAAAGATTTACAATTCTGGCATCATACTATCCTAGCAGTAACAAAAAATCATCACTCTCATCAGAGCTCCTTTGCACTCACAATTGCACACGAGATCCTGCCGCCAACTCGTCCTCGCCACGTTCTGTAGACCTTATTTCTAGTGTCCCCAGTGGAGAGGCATCCTACGAAGAGTATCATCAGCCCCAGGCCACCCATGCCGGCTCCAACCACCATGAAAGTTAGTTGCACTGGTTCTACCCTAAAATATAGAGATAATTAGCCTAATATTTTATAACTATCATTTGGACAAAATTAAAAAAAAAATTGGATTTTTTTTTTTTTTTTTTTGGGAAAAAATTACTATACTGAACACAAACATTTATTAAAAACTTAGGCAAATAAAGCTTGTTGTCTTTACTATAGAAGAAAGATTACAAAGACAAGCACTGCTAAACATATATTTATGTATACAGTAGACTACTTGTGAAGCACCAACTTTAAGAGATGGTGGAATATTCATATACATACAGTATTTATCAATTAACCCAAAGAGACATTAACGTATTAACTTAAAAACTAAATTTATGTTGACATGCCAGTTCTATGTTCACATGATTTATGGGACAACAAGAGTATTTATATTGGAAGCAAATTAATACAATTCCTGGATGCAGCCATTTAGTGTAGAAATGTGTGATATAAGGAAAATGTGTTATGATTTTCTTTTACTTTTAGACTGATTGATAATATCTAGTTTAATAATGTACAATACTTTCATAATAAACATTTCAGATTTCTTCACACACAATGGATTCAGATTTTCAACTAATATACCAAACTGCAAAATTATAGGCAAAGTTATAATAATATAGAATACAAACCCACACTTATGTATTTGTGAGCTTGTGTTAAGAGTGGGTTGGATCTTGGGTAACAGCCGCATTGGTCGTTGAAATGCAAGACCACATACTTCCTATCACATACTCAGACCTTTTAACAAAGCACTCCGGGGAGTGCGAAAGACTTGGTGTATATCTTTACATAAAATTAACAAATACATTAGTGTGGGTTTTTATACTATATTTTATGTCTGTGAGAAGACATCACCATTACTGTACCTTAATAATAATTTATTATTTATTAAATATCATATGTACATTGCTTATATTACATAGTACAGTATAAATGCTGTATGTGGTATTTATAGTTTAATAAGGCCACTAATCACTGTTTGGAGTAAATCTTAAAAAAAAAAAAGTCATGTGTCAAAGTTATTAACCTGGTATTACTAATGCATAGGAAAATTTCAAAGAATTTTCAGTGTTTATTTAATGAAATAATGTACAGTATAAGCTTCAGTTTATAATTAACAGATACAGGGGTTCCCAACTTATGACAGGACCAAGTTCCTAATTTTTCTTCTTAATCAAGTTCATAGGTTGGAATTTGGAACAAGGTTTCCCAAATGTGCTGTGCTATAATTGTTAGAAATGCAAAAGTACCATAAACTGACAAGTATTTATAATTCAAATTTCTGTAATGTTGAATAAACTCTGGCTAAGTCTGGGATCCAATGTACAAATTCTTAAACCACTAATTCTTAAAAGTAAACTTTGAACTAATATGCCTGTACATTGCTTTAAATATTGTTACAATACAGCAGTTTGTTTACAGTACAGTATTTTCAAGTTAAATTTAACAGCACACAATATGGCACTCACTTTATGCCTAAAAAGTGAGTTTGATTGGATTGCTATACTGTACATCTGTTTAGTCCAACCAGTATTGCAATGATTTGTGTAAGTTGTTAAGAATAAGGTTTCCGATTCTAATGAAGACTACAGTACGTGCTACACTGTTTTTGTGTCTGTACTGTATTATTTTATGTAAACTTTCCCAATTATAAATGTACCTGTACAACCATTTATGAATAAAGTCTATGATTTGACGTGATTATTATATGAAGAGTTAATATGCCAAATAGGGGAAGGGGGAAATATCTAAGACTCAATTATACTTGGAGCAAGTCCATTTCTTTGGAGAGAGAGAAAGAGAAAGAGAGAGAGAGAGGGTGTGGTGCTGCCACCATGGGGAATAAGTGGCCAGGATGACATAATTGGTGCGGTACATTTGATATCCCCGTGGGAACACTAGTGTCTAGCTGCTCACTCTCCACCAGTTGTCATTCACACACGAGTCTTATCTTTGAATACAGTCATTTACCTAGCGATATCTCCCACAGTGTGTCGATACCACACTTTGCATGTTGATTATTTTAAGTGAAATAAACCTTTAATGAAATAATCAGTTATTGGTATTCATTTACGTATAATAATGATAAAGTGGTTTCTTATTTATTACAAAAAAGTACATGTTTAATAAAGCCACTAGTGTGGAAACTATTAAACTCATAAATAATATGAAGATAACATTAGGCTACAGCTATACAACACTGTAGTACATCTATTATAATTTAAATTAGTCTGAGGCAAAACGCAGGCCATGTACATATTAGAATAAATTAAAAAAAAAAAAAAAAAAAAAATATTAGAAAATTATCTTTTGCAAACAGAGTGGTAGACGGTTGGAACAAATTAAGAGAGGTGGTGGAGGCCAAAACTGTCAGTAGTTTTAAAGTGTTATATGACAGTACAGTACTGGGAAGACGGGACACCACCTTGAGGTTACCTTGAGATGATTTTGGGACTTAGCATTTCCACGGCCCTGTCCTCGACCAGGTCTCCTATTTGTTACACACCCCAGGAAGCAGCCCATAACAGCTGTCTAACTCCCAGCTACCTATTTACTGCTAAGTGAATAGGTGCATCAGGGTGAAAGAAACTCTGCCCATTTGTTTCCGCCTCCACTGGGGATCGAACCCGGAACCTCAGAACTAGGAATCCGAAGTGCTGTCCACTCAGCTGTTAGGCCCCGTTGGCTGACAGCCACTCAACTGTCAGACCCCACCCCCTCTCATCCTGTAACTACACTTAGGTAAATACACTTATGTAATTACACACATTAAGGCCTCGCAGCTGAGTGGATGGCATTCGGTGGTCATAATCCTAAGGGACCGGGTTCAATTCAGTCCAAGGCAGAAACAAATGGGCTGAGTTTTTTCACCCCCTGATGTGTCTGTTCACCTAGCAGCAAATGGGTACCTGGGAGTCAGACAGCTGCTACAGGCTGCTTCCTGGGAATGTGCGTGTATGCACGTGTGTGTGTTGGAGAAATATATGTACTGTAGTAGACAAAATTGAGGAAAACAGATGGGTTAGAAAGGCAAGGTCCAAGAGCTAATAGCTCGATTCTGCAGGCACAAATGGTAAATACACGCATACTTCAGGAAGAGAGGGATCTCTTCCAAAACTTGTGCAAGGAATCATTCAGAACCTTGTATACCTCATATGTCCGACCAATACTTGAGTATGCGGCTCCAGCGTGAAGTCCATATCTATTTCCATATAATGAAATACAAAACGAAGTTAGAAAAGGTTCAGAGGTATGCCTTCAGGTTCAGACCAATTTACTAGGAGGTTTAGGTCGGCTTGTAATCTGACGCTCCAAAGGTGCTTTCCTGCTTAGTTTGGCGACGTCAGCAAAATTTTATATCGTGCTGCTTGATCCTAAAGTCAACATGAAAAGCACCTTCCTAAGCACAGCCATTTCGTAACACACTGCGATAAGAATCTGCTGCTGTGACTGCCACATGGTTCATGAACAGCCAGCAGGGACTGCAATTAAATCCCCAGCTCAGCAGAAACATTTTTAGACATCCCTGCAGGGTCTTTTAAGGGGCACCGGAGGCTAGCCCAGAACGATAATCATACTTATAGCCATAGCGATTCAAAGCCTTACGAAGTCCTCACTTGGTATCACGGGCGCCTGAGCCGGGATTCAGAACGGTTTGGGGGACAATGGGCGAGACCAGAACCCACCGAATGGATATGCACAGTAATGTACTTAATGACTAAACCTTATTTTTGAGCTATTGCATTATACTAAAATGTAGAGACGAGCAGGGGAATTAGGACACCAGAACCATCATGCCCAAGAAGCAGGGCATGTAAGGAGACAGGATAACAGCCTCTCTTCAAGGGCACATGAATACCATTCCGGCAAACTAGTCCTGGGGCTCGTTATTACCTGTTTGCTTAGATCATTGAGCAAAACATAATCGAAAAAAATTGGAAAGACTGTCTTGTACATAGTGAACTTGTGCCAATCTCGTGCCCAGCGGAAACACTGGGCCATGTGTAATCGCACAACAAAACAGAGATCGAAGCCTCGAAGCGGAACCAAAGTATGAAGGTGTAGACATCTCTAACGGCAGGAAAGCAATGACCCTCTAGAGATCAAGCTAAAGAAAATCATGAAAAGGGGGCAAGTTTGGAAGAAGACCTTAAGTTTAGTGAAAAACACTAAGAGGACAATGCAATCACGGACAATATAAATGTTGAAAATGTTTTTATATTGAATATTACTGCTGTTATGATTGATATTTTGTATCTTTACCATTGTCACTTAAATACTGTACTTTCTTTCCGTTCACCATGTATGGTGTTCTTGAGACCAGCATATCATTACTCATCTATACGTGAGAATGTCAGAGTTTGTCAGAGGATGGAGGCCCAACGCTCGGGGCTCGACTTATTATGCGGGAATAATGATGATTTTATCGGTTGTGACACAAGGGTGTAGGGGTTGTCCCAGTGACCCCTTGAAGGAGGAACAGCTCCAATGTCCCTCCTTCACGAAGTCTGTGAACGTGAAATGTTCTGCCCAGAGTCCATAGACTACAACATTAGTTTAAATAATGCCGAATTCAGATACTGATTGACTTGACTGGAAGGTGGAAGAATAGAAAGGAGGGAAACTGGGGGGGGGGGATCTAGTGAGAATGGGGGGTGAGGGAGGATGGGGGAGGGATCTAGTGAGAATGGGGGGGGATCTAGTGAGAATGGGGGGTGAGGGAGGATGGGGGAGGGATCTAGTGAGAATGGGGGGGGATCTAGTGAGAATGGGGGGTGAGGGAGGGTTTGGGGGGGATCTAGTGAGAATCGGGGGTGAGGGAGGATGGGGGGGGGGGATCTAGTGAGAATGGGGGGTGAGGGAGGATGGGGGGGGGGGGGATCTAGTGAGAATGGGGGGTGAGGGAGGATGGGGGGGGATCTAGTGAGAATGGGGGGTGAGGGAGGATGGGGGGGGGGATCTAGTGAGAATGGGGGGTGAGGGAGGATGGGGGGGGATCTAGTGAGAATCGGGGGTGAGGGAGGATGGGGGGGGGATCTAGTGAGAATGGGGGGGGGTGAGGATGGGGGGGGGATCTAGTGAGAATCGGGGGTGAGGGAGGATGGGGGGGGGGATCTAGTGAGAATGGGGGGTGAGGGAGGATGGGGGGGGGGGATCTAGTGAGAATGGGGGGTGAGGGAGGATGGGGGGGATCTAGTGAGAATGGGGGGTGAGGGAGGATGGGGGGGATCTAGTGAGAATCGGGGGTGAGGGAGGATGGGGGTGGGATCTAGTGAGAATGGGGGGTGAGGATGGGGGGGGGATCTAGTGAGAATGGGGGGTGAGGGAGGATGGGGGGGATCTAGTGAGAATGGGGGGTGAGGGAGGATGGGGGTGGGGGGATCTAGTGAGAATGGGGGGTGAGGGAGGAGGATGGGGGGGGGATCTAGTGAGAATGGGGGGGGGGATCTAGTGAGAATGGGGGGGGGATCTAGTGAGAATGGGGGGGGATCTAGTGAGAATGGGGGGGAGGAGAATGATCTAGTGAGAATGGGGGGGGGATCTAGTGAGAATGGGGGATGGAGGGAATGGGGGGGACAATGGGAAGTAGCAGCATGGGTGGGAGGGAGAATGGAAGGGACTGAAGGACAGACATTTCAAATATATTCAAGGATCCAACATTTCAAATATATTAACAGCAATAATTATTATTCCTATTTTCAATACTGCATATAATTTAACAAATGTATGTGCAATTTATGTCAAATTTCAAATAGGTTAAAAAGTAACACTAAACAGCAAATACAATTACAGCGCTGCAGCGTTGACCATATACAGTGATATATATAACATTGTACACAAACATAAAAAATTACAATACATTGTCCATAACTAATTTATATCACTGGGCAAACTGTGCGTGTGGCTGCAACCCGTCCTCTCCACTAATCCGTCTCACTGTGTACGCTGTGCTCCACAACACACACAGTACTATGACAAAGTACTGAAATAGCGGCTCACAAATGTTCACCGTGCATCGGTAGGTTTAGGCGAATGGCTTGGGTTGGTACACTTGTGGTTAGTACACTTGTTGGTACACTTGTGGTTAGCTTTTAGCACTTTGTATTTTCGATTTTGTGGCAAATCAAGAGAATTAACACAGCCTACCACCAGCCTAAACCCGAGGAAAATCCTAACGTCTCATCAAGAACAAAATAAGATACAGCACTGTATTGTGTAAGGTGTGCGTAAGTCGAGATAAACGACCACATTCACTAACAAAAATGTAAACATACCTTCAACATAACAACAGCCTGTAACACACACACTACAAAATGTAGCGGACATTAGCATCAGGATTCAAACTCGTGCACCAAATTATCAAAGTCAACACGAGATGACAGTGTATAGGCCTATGCCTTATGATCTACGGAATTAGTATTTAAATGAGGGGGCTTTTTATCTCCATAACAATGCTATCATGCGTGGTTAGGCTTACAATACACTTCGGGAATGTTAGTTTCAAACCAGATGCTGAAGTTTTAAACAGTAAGGTCTTCCGGGCAGGAGTATATTATCACGTGGAACAGCTGTTTGGTGAAAAGACTTGGAAGGAAGCACGCTAGGAAAACAAAGAGAAGAAGACTTGGAAAGAAAAATTACATAATTGGGAGTAAGGAAGAACAAAATTGGAAGTGGGGGAGGGGGTGAGGGGTGAGGAATGGGAGGCGACGAGAAACTGAGATGGTAACTTACGTATTTTGTTATGTCTTGAGAGTTAATACTGAGAGAGGTGGAGAGGAGTGTACGAGGGAAAGAATTGTAAATTTATTATGGAAGAGAAAAATAAAGTATGGAAAAAGAGCATTTTAGTACAGTTATATTTTCAAGTTGTCTACCAAGACTGTTGATGCATCCCAGTCCTATTAAAATACAACCTGGAATACAGCTACATTAGCCTTCAAGGGGGTACTAATGCACAAAACTTTCTAGTATCCTATATGGTATACAAGACAGTATTACTTCCATGCAACTTTTCCAAGATGCATTCAAGTCGGCGCTTACAAAAATACTGACTATATTTAATATGTAGTGAAGGAGGCAGTAGGAGGCGGCAACACTCGAGGGGTCGACGCCAGCACCAACACACCCACAACACGAGCGCACATTTTCTTAAAAATTATCATACTTGTGGCTAATGTTAGCCGCAGGTATATGGGCCTGGGGCCCTAAGGGACTCTTAGATGCGTCCACTAACACCCTCAAGTGTGTTACTGCGCCGCCTGAGGTAGCCTCGTGCCTTGCCTGCCTGAGGGCCTCGTTCGCCACAACCACTCAAGTCAAAAACACCAGACATCCACAATTGCCAACATACCACAATACAATTTCTCTAATGTTGTTCTCATTACGTGTGACTATGTCGGCCAATTGGCAAGGTTATCTGCCGTTATAATAAGACACACCAGCATACAGGTGAAGCACTGGATGTATTTCAGCAAGAGATGTCACATGTTTCGTACTTGAGGGAGCTGTATGTTTACATATCCATTAAGATCTAGCTAGCACTTGTCCAAAACTGTCATGTCCCATGTCATCACATGACAGGAGGAGGGTATTGTGACACTCGTATGATGCGTCATGCTAAATGCATTCAAATTTTTTTTCTGGGGAGGGGATTAAGCAGGAATACAGAAAACTGATTCTTCAGACGCTTCATACAAGAACAATGGGGGGAGGGGAGTAAGCAGGAATACAGAAAACTGATTCTTCAGACGCTTCATACAAGAACAATGGGGATAGGGGAGGGGGTGTTGGGGGGGTAGATGCGAGGACAAGCAAGGTTAGCCTACTATCAATATCAGTTTACCTGTATTCTCGGTCCCTGCATCACGTTCCACCGCCACACACAACAGGTAAGAATGAGAAACAAAACCATAACTGGCTTATATTGCTGCTACATATTTCTCTGAATCAATAAAGCCTTTTTTTGTTTTATGGAAAGTGGGTGACTCTCACAAGTCTTTATAACAAAAAAGGAGTAATTTGAGTTACCTCCATTACATAACAGTAAATAAAAAAAAGGCTTTGCTGAGAGGAAGAATAACAACGTGATTTAAAGAATAATGAGCACAACCTTAATATATAACTTGTGGGATATTTACTAACATTACTGTACTAAGCTCACTCACTACCTTAACACACACAATAGTACACCAGCTTAGAAATGATATACCAATACCCACCAAGCACTATCAAGTGTACATGTTTCAACATTTAAAATCTGGAATCTCCCAAGCATTGTTTTTACCACTAAATTTCACAACCTACAAAATAAGCCTAAAAACCGGCCCTTATACGTACCCCTAGTTTTTAATGTCAACATGCATTTGATAATTGACCAGCACAATAATTACTGTGCTCATTCGCACAAAATAGCAAGAGATCTATAAACTGAGTCGTTAACATTATAAATCAACTCGTCCTCCTAACAGTGACGACTTATACTGAATTTTGTAACTAGCTCATCAAGATTGTAACTTACTTAGCTAAATGAATTGTGGGGTTCAGTCCCTGAGCCCATTATGTGCCTCTGTAACCCTTTCCACTACCGCCCACAAGATGGGTATGGGGTGCATAATAAATGAACTAAACTAACTAACCAATCTCCTAACAGAGCGTCGCATTTTGACGTATACTCTACCTAAGGCCAAAGATTGTCGTACTAGAAAATAGTAGCAGCTCGCGAAATTGACATACTGTCCCGTTTTCTGTTTTGGGTCCTCTGGTAGGTTAGGATAAGGACATTTTAGTACGACACTTTCTTGACGTTGGGAAACGTTAGGAGGACGGGCTGGATAAATGACCAGTAATAGCTACAGAGAACCCTTAACTATTCACCATAGTCTTGAACAGGAAGCCTGTTTCACTTATCGACCCCCCCCCCCTTTCCTTCCTGAGCCCATTATGTGCTTCTGTAACATTCTTCACTACTACCCCCACAGGATGGGCATGGGGTGCATAATAAATGAAAACATCCTCCCCTCTCCCCGCTAGGCTGACTACCTACCTTCCCCAGCATGCAACCCATATAACAGTTACCTATTTCCTAGGTACCTATTTACTGCTAGGTAAAAAGGCATCAGGTGAAATAAAAGGTCGGGGAAGCACTAGTATGGCACACACAGCACCGCTCTGGTGCCAGGTAAGTCCACTACGGGCTCACCATAGCCCGTGCTACTTGGAACTTGTTCCGCGTAGCTGAATCTATAACAACAACAACAGCTGATATGGCAAGACAACACCAGGGAAGAAGCCACCCCTCGTGCGGCAGTACTCACCACTTAATGTGCAGCTTGAAGACGTCCTCGAAGAGCCTGAGGGTGAGGGTGGTGCCCCTGTACATGGTGCCGCAGAACACCCCGACGCCCACACAGCACATCAAGGTGGCGATGAGCGTGGCGTATGGCACCCGGGTCATGCAGTCCCGGCACTTGCGACCTGTGGCACCCACAACAACCTTTAGATGGTCTCACACACACACACACACACACACACACACACACACACACAACACATAGTCTTAACAACACCAAAACAAACACACACACAATTAAAAATACCAAAATAAATTGGTTCACAATTAAAATCTACAATTATAGCCTAAAATTTAATAATAACAAATCTGATTTAATACTAACGATGTTTGGATAGAGTTAAATGTTCTTGTAATAATACAAAGAAAAATGCTAAGAATACGATGAAAAGTGAGGGCGACAATACACAGTTAATTAAGAGTGGAGTCTCACCTACGAGACCCGCACTGATTGACTGTAGCCTATACACCTCAGCCCACCCTCCTAAAATGACAGCACTTACAGTAACCATGTGCTAGAACGCACTAATATGTACTAATAAACCCGCAAAATATCAAATTTGTCATTAAGTCCGAAAATAAAAGGTAAAAACCAAATTTAAAAATTCCTAGGCCTAGTATAGCACATACGGTATGTATTACATTAGGCCTATGGGTTGCTTGGGCAGGTTAGGTTAGGTTCGTTAGTTTCATTTCCTATTTCCGATTTAGCCATTTGGTCTAAATCAATAATACAAACGGGGAACTTTAGGTGTCCAACTGACATATTGGTGTGTTTGACTAATCAACCTTTCAAGTGCCATCATTTTAGGAGGAATGGTTGATACATTTATGTTGTAGATAAAGAAGGATGCATTAGGGTAGGTGGGGACATCGCCATACTAAATGAGACAGACAGGTGGATCATCACAGGCAAGACAGATGGTTGAAGCTGGAGAAATGCGCTAAAGGATGGAAGGGCCATGAATAATTCATTCAATCTTTGCTCAAGAAAGAACAGGGGAAAGAAAGAATGGAAGATAAAGAGAGAAGGTTGGGGAAACCTATCAATGAAATAAATCACCATATGAAGGAGGTTACACGTGTATACAGATGCAAATCTTGGATAACAGCTGTACAAGTATCAGCGAGAAGTGAGATTACTGGCTGAATTCGAGTTGAGGAACATACCATGAGTGATTTAATGAAGTCATTATGTGTACATGTAATAAATGTAATAAAAATAATTAAACCTAGTGTTGCACTTGTGAACATCATCAGTGTTCTGTATTCATTAGTAAGTTTGGTAGATGGTCCAGTATGCTAGATATAATATGCTAGACGGGCGGGCAACCCTTGGCACGCGTGACAAACTTGGCATGCCATGCGACACCCTGGGCTCACCTTAAAAAATTGAAATAAATATCCAACTACTTTGCCAAGTTGTACATTTTAACTAAATAAAATAACATTTTATTAAGTTGGGCGATAACAAATAAAAACGCGTTAAAGAAACAAAGAACGACAATTGTTTTAGTAATAATAACAAGAAAATGAAACAATCATGGGATTTTCCAGCCATCTGCCTCGGTGATACGTTTTGTCCTGTTCAGTTGTAGCATCATTCCCCAGGCGGCCAGACGTCGCCTCACTCCTCTACCATCACGTCCTAATGTCCATTTTAAAGAATGAAGAACAATTGTTCTTTATATTACTTCTAAGCTGCATCACTTATGAACCCATCCCTGCCCTTGTGTGGCAGTGCACATTAGAAAGTTGTTTTCACATATCCATACATTAAAACATTGATTGTAACCATGATATATATATGTACTTCCGCCTACAGTTTAGACCTACTGTCTTATGTATGACCTTTTGTCCTGCGTGACAGTGAATACCAGCATTATCCTCACTTTAATAAGACTTAATCGAAATCCTCAGATTAGGCAAAATTTTAATGAATTTTGTCAATAAAGATGTTAATAATAATAATCTACCATCACTGTACGTAGGCTTATAATTGTACTCATTACCCACGAACCCATTTTCATAAACCTTGATAGGTGTATGCAGAATGTGGTGATGATGCGATTTTCAAAGTTCTGTAATTTTTATGTATTATTCAAAAAGGGATGAAAAAAATAATAAAAGAATCCTTTTATTTTATTTGATTGTGCTTTAGCCAAATAAAACGATGGGGGGGGGGCTGTAATGTATTGGGAAAATTTGGAAACTTATGGCTGATTGATCTGATATATAAAAACAAATTATTGTTTTCTCTTTTGCAGATTGTTAAAAATTGCTACTTTAAATTGTGTGGGTGAATTTGGCGACGAGAATTTCCCTTAAAGCCTAATAACAAACAATTATCCACGCTATCAACAGGATAGAAAAAACTTTAAGCTAAATTTTCTTTAACATTCATTGAATTTTACATGACTAACAAGTATCACGTTTAGCATTTTCTTTGATTTTACCGCCCCAGTGTGACATTTAATTATTTGAAAGGTTCTCCCAGTACTTAAAAGGCACGAAATAATATGCTCTTCAAAATTTCGATTGGCACGCGAGAAAATTTGGCATCAAAGATTTGGCGATTTTGGCGCGCAGACTTAAATAGGTAACCCACCCCTGTGCTATGAGATACAACAAATATATATATTTTAATTTTCACAGACAATCAAGTTGAAAGCGGTGGTGAAATCTAGGACAAAGCCTCCAACAGTCGTGTCTTCACCACCACTTGTCTCGTTAGCTCTCCGACACACGCACGCACGCACGCACGCACGCACGCACGCACACGCGCACGCACGCACACACGCGCACACACTCGCACACTCAACACGCCTCAAAAGATTGCGTGTGTAGCCAAGCATTACACTACGTAATAATTAAATACTATAACAATGTGTTTTACACACACGCCAACACTAACAGTTTCAAATATATGATATATAAAACTACGTCCCCTTTACTTTTAATATATATTTTGTGTTACATTTTATTTTCAAGTTGTTGTTGTTAAAGATTTGCTACCTGAAACAAAAAGTTCCAGGTAACACGGGCTATGGTGAGCCCGTAGACTGGAAAAAGTGTAATAGAGTAATCTAGGATTCTGAAAACCGTGAGGATGTGTTGGTGGTGTGTCCGTGAGTCACCCAGAGAGAAAACTGCAGCCTTCAAACTCTGGTGCTCCCTGGGGCCAAATTCACGAAGCAGTTACGCAAGTACTTACGAACGTGTACATCTTTCCTCAATCTTTGACGACTTTGGTTACATTTATTAAACAGTTTACAAGAATGAAAACTTCCCAATCAACTGTTGTTGTTATAAACAGCCTCCAGGTGCTTCGGAGCTCATTAATTGTTTATTAATTGTAAACAAAGCCGCTAAATATTGAGAAAAGATGTACAGGTTCGTAAGTGCTCGCGTAACTGCTTCGTGAATCTGGCCCCTTGGTGTCTAAGAGAATGGTCGGTCTCTCACTCTTGCAAACAGTGCGAGGATCAGTGCTACCTTTACCTGATCCTCAACAGAGGTTCTTCATTCTAACCGAGAGCTTTGCAAAATGTGTGAGGCAGATCTGGATAAAATATATATTAATAATTGCAGCAGGCAGACAGGCAGACTAATCACTTGCGTGTGTAGTAATAGGCTTCCACCAGGTTCTTATACCCACGCATCCATCGATTACCGATAATTACATTCAGTCCAGAGTCTGACTATATATTGATAAAAACTGCACAATAAACAGACATTCGTAAAGATTTTCTTGAATGACTTTTTGCACATCTTAACAGCCCTGGGTTCCTCAAACAGTCTGCGACTGCCCAGGTCAATATGATAGACATGCTAATTTCGAACAATACCATCAAACAAAGATCTGCTTGTTATTCCTCCTTCATTCTGGTCGTCCGGTACGAGCAAGTCACTTAGGAAGAACGGGTGTAGACTGAACCTGACGCAGGATCAATATCCTAAACAATCCTGGTTAAGAAAAGCGTCTGGGGATCACTAGAAGGCTGGTTCGTCGCCGCATTGGTCCAAATGATTTTGTCATTCATATATCACATCATTGTAATTACTTCGTGTCCACTAATAATTCATACCAGACTCATTTAACCCATACATAACCATTAATAATTACCAGAAAATAACGAGTATTTGTTTAGGCATCGGGAGCAGAAACACTGATTAGCCTAACAATTTCACAAACTCGTTCACATACATCTGATGCTTTGTGTATTGGTGGTATGACCGCAATCGTTAGTCACATTTTGGTTATACTCAGTAAAACAGTTGTTTATTTACAATTATCACACAATTCATCCATTAAGCATCTCATAATATTGGTACTGGACGATTCAGTCAAGATTGGTACAGTATTTAGAAAATTTATAAGATAAACAAGTTAAAATTGATTGTCGTGAATATGCAATTTAAGCTTAAAAACTACCCTACAAAATTGTTTTCATGATCCTAGATCATTTTTTCCATAAAGGTTCCTGTAAATGTGTTGTGTTCGGTGCTCTGGAAAGGTAATTATCAGGAGAACGTACTAAGTATATAGCACTTGGAAGTGATATGGGGATAAGGATTTAAGATTGTACAAGGGAAAGGAATGCTGCCCAACTACTAGAACGGTCGGGGATTGAACACCGATGCGAGAACGTCCCTCTACCGTCCAGTTCAAGTGGTTGGGAGAATGTTTGGGACTGTTAACTGCTTGCCAATATTACGGAAGACTCCTCTGCTTGACATCAACCCTGGATTGTGACTATTTTACTAGTTAGCGTCTGGTCGTGACCACACAACCAATTAGTTTAATTGTATGCACCACTGATACGAGTTCAATGACACGAACTCGCGTTGGTCATGCGGAAATACCCGCAATCTAAATTGATAAATTTACATTTGCCCTGAACGATTACCACTAGTAAGTTATGAGCTGGCCACGTCGGGAGAAATGAAACAACGTATATCTTAGAGATAATGCTCCCTGCCGACCAATATAGTAAGTAGCTTGTTTTATCCTACAGGAGGGTCAGACTGGAGCAGCTGACGTCTGACTTGTGTTACCAGGCTTACATCTCATCATTTACACCGCTCATACGCCTCTCCCTAATAGTCTTCCCAGCAACACACA